ACCTCAACGGCGACTGAACAGCCTACACCCATCTTACTCGTCCCTACCCGTGCCCCCTCACCCCATCATCCTCCTCCATTTCACTCCCTCAATTTACCTCTAGATGAAAGGTAAATCCATGCCCGTGCCATCTCTTGGGTGGCTTAATCTTCATCAATCAATCATCACTCACGCCACAGCCCCTAATAGGTCTACTCGATCCTAAGTGCTGAAGCCGTATCATAAACCAGTAACCTACGAGCACAATTCTCGCTCGGCCTTATCATCAAGGGGCGATAGATTATATATATAATATAATCGCGTCTCCCTCTCTCCAGTCATATGTAACTGTTGAAACTTGGGAATTATTTCTATATTTTAGAAATGCCCCCTAATGACACACCACAGCTCTCCAGATAACACACAATGAAACAAATTTAATACAACAAAACGGCCATTTAGCATTTAGTCCATTAGTAATTCTAAAAAGTTTTTTTTTATATAAGCCAGAGCAGTTCTCTACAACCAAACGCGTGGGGATCGGGCAACCATTCCCCTTTCCTCACATCACTCCCTAAACTCTGCTATTTTCCTGATATTCCTTCCGACATTGTGTCCTCGACTCTACCATTCTCCACGCACTCCTCCACACTCTCTCCCCTCTCCCCACCCTCTCCAACGTTAAGCTCGTTTTTATTCTCTCTCAATTTAACGGTGTCGTATTCCTCCTCCCCGATGAAGCCGCGTTTTATGGCCTGAGCTACCCCAAAGGAGCTCAGGCTCTCATAAAAGCAATTAATTATGCCGCAAAATTAATTTGAATAAATTCCAAAAGGCCGTAGCCTAATCCAAAAATTCGTGAAGTGTTAGAAAAATGGTCTACATGAATTCTAATGAAAAAATATAGTTGATAAATAGATATATATTTATATTGTAAAATCGTTCAGTTTCCCATATACATTCAATGTGATTTACAAGTTTACCCAGTAAAACAAATTTGAATACTGCATATTAAACCACGCAAAATTTCATACAAATTAAGTAATCATTAAATCAAACTGTCGATATTACCACAGCACTTCTTGAGATGGCATGACAATCACGGGGAAAATAACCCGGGGGGGGGGGACAACAAGAGGGAAAAAATGACAGCGCCATAAATAAAAATGCTAACAAATAAAATCTGACGAGGCTGCATTTTACTTAACAAGAAAACGCGTGTATGCCTATGCTGATCAAGATGGATCCTAAATTAAAGCTAACGTAAGCAAAGTGGCATTTACAATAACCATAAAAATGTACTTGACAAGTTCTGTTAACAACGGCTCCTGATACAAAAAAAAATCAGCTAGGTAAATGCAAGCTACCAAATTTGCTCTTTTTAACTACCACCACCACCTTTTCCGCCCCTTCTTCCATTCCCCATCCAAATTACGAATTTCTTAAATCACGCGAGACGCCATTCATTAATTTTACACTCGTTTGCACAGCCATTTGCATATTAATGCGTAGTTTAGCATGGAAGTGTGGGAGCCGTGTAATCTACCGCTCTCGGTGTAATTATTACCCTACCCCACTTGTCTACTACGCCCTCTGTAATTATCAACTCCGCCGACTCATCTACCGGTTCCAGTGTAATTATTATCCTAGTCCGTCTACCGTGACCAGTTCACCAAGCCACTTCGCTAAACTATTAACTTTTACATTAAACTAACAAGTTTGTAACGTCATTAGTTTTTAGAAATATCTATTCAAAACAAAGAAGTTACAATGGCGTGGTATGTCAATCATTAAATCACTTAGAGCAATGCAGTAACTAACCAGCGTTCTGGCGACTCCAGACACTTGCCCTAGCCAACTCTGCTAGCTATGATAGGACAAAAGTTACTCAACCTAGACCTCTAATGAACCCATTGGGAAAGGTCTGAAGGCCTCAATTGGTATATCAGTCTTTTTTTGTTTACGAATAACCTGCCTACACTCTGGCCTGTGGGTAATGATGCTCCCCACCATATGTCTCTCCTTACAACCCCCAAATGATAATTGTACACCAATATATGAACGGCAAATAATAATGTAACCAACAGCCTAATGTAACTAAAGAGCAACTACTGCCTTGCCTTAAATTTTTTTTTAACAAACGACAACTACTGCCTTACATCTATCCCCTCTACCGCGCCGTGAATCATGCTTCATTAGTGCCTAGCTCCAGACGGGAAAAAAAAATTGTAACGACCACAAGCACTTCACATGTGCCAAGCCAATAATTAGCAGCCATAAACCAATTAACTGGCTGGAGTGAGCAGGTGAAAGGAACGAAAATTTTTGAAAATATAATACGAGGAAGCTGGAATTACATTACGTTGTATTTCGTCTGCCAACTTTAAGGTTTTTTGTGAAATGTTTTGATATATATTTTAATGTGATTGTCTAAAAGTGGAGTGTTAAAGCTCTAAGGAATCTGCCGCGTCTGTTCCAGTCTGCAATATGGTTATTTTCCCGGCAACTTCAAATCTCTTATGAAATCCGCCAAACGTTCTCGTCGGAAGAACTCTTTGATGAGCCGACGCCCTACTGTTCAAAAGGTTTAGTGGAACAAGTTAATTCTACATAATAGCCCATACTCGTCTTTTTCAACCACCTTAAAAAGAAAAGTTCTTGTGTATTATTACTAGCACACTACAGTTAATTTCCCTCCCAATAGAACACAAAATTGAGACTGAAAATGAACATTTATTATTCCTGGCAACGCCTCCCCCAACCCCAAACCCCACCACACGCCATAATAAAGCACCTTATTACTCTCCGGGAAATTGTTAATTTTATATATATATATATATTTTTTTTAATTCTCGCTTTCACCACCCTTATAACCTGCAATTTTGCGATTCCGCGCCTGAGGACGTTTTAGAATGCGTGAGTCAATTCTATATGAAGAGCTCGTTCGGGGTCTATTTACGTTTCTTTTTATTCCACTAAATGATTTGTTCGACACCCCCTAAATCCCACAGAAAAAAACAAAATGAACCACTCTATTTTCCCTCATCTACACTTCTCCCGTCTACTACGAATCACCATATACTACGCAAAATTCCTACTCTGGTAGGTTACAATTCTATCCGAACAAATTACAAATTCTAAATGCGCATAATTTATACCCAAGTAGCCCCATTGTTAATTACGGTTAACATTCTATTTCCCATAGCCTAGCCATTATGGAGTTTAAAGCCAGGCGATATGTCTAACAACGGAATCTGCCCCGAATAAATACACCTTAACAAATAAACAAGACAAATTGGTGTTCGGGTTCACGTATGCAAGTATTTTAATGTCCCTGCCACTAAAAATTTGTTTGATTATATAAAATAGGGTATTGGTGAAAAGTGGGTGAGGAGCGTGATGAACAGATTATAGAAATCAAAGAATTATTTTAGAATATACAGTGAAGGACAATTTTATTTAAAGCACAATAAAAATTCCTTTGGATATATATAAATCCTCTATATTTATTACATAAAGGCCACTAAACATGCTAACAATATCTCAGATAAATGTACCACAAAACAAGATTACCATACACCACAATTGACAATACTGACCTCAATTAAATTATGGAAGTTCATGTCATTTATCTACCAAAAATAACCATGCATTCAATTAATGCAGACTGAAATGTTACATTAAGGGGAATAAATGCTGTATACCAAAAGCAGGCAAGTTAGCTATATAGAACAGATTGTAACTTTCAATTCATATGCAAATGAGTACTTCAAAACTTCTTACTTTGGAGAGTTTCCTTAAAGGAACAAGACTTAGTCTCATCTTTAGCTGTCAGGCGGTCTCTAGTAGATTAGCTCTGGGTACATGTTAAGCAAAAATATCAAAATACCAGTAAATTTAATTTACCAAAAATGACAAAATAATTACTAAACTGATCTGAAAGTCACTGGTATAGAATATGCATATTTGTGTACACAGCAAAACCAAGGAAAAACTTCTCTTCAATTTCTTCTAATTTTAAAAATGATTTGCACTGGATTTGATCCACTCAGAGCAAAATGTGAATACTTTGAGTCTTCTGTGAACTCCACTTCATATTTGAATAGCTACTATGCGTTTCATATCACTTCACAAACATAAATTTCACTTAAGTGCTTTTTACCTTAAGCTTTTAATGCTTCACAAGTCTCAAAAGTGAAAATGTAATTACATTTTGTTTGGTCTAAAATCTAATAATTTGTCACTGACAAAAATTATTTCCCAATATCTACTGTCTTCAGTTTCCTCCCAGATACAAGCGGCGGGTTTCGTGGAATCTACAAGAGTGAATCGGGTCGACCTTTCTTTCGATAGCTCATGCGACTTTCTCGAAGTCTCATTTGAGGTCTCCGAAGCCTCACCTTAGAGCCAGCGGGGTGAAGCCTAACCCCCTCTCTCTTTCCCGACTACCCTTCCTTCGCCTAACGCTAAGTTGACGAAGTTTCTAAAGATCTATAAAGCTCTCAAGCTCTTTGGAAAAACTCTGGAGACTGTACTGTAAAGCTCTAAGCTCTAAAGCTCTTGAATCAATGTCTCGCATACAGCTGGGGACTAGCAGTTATGGTATAATTCACTGGGACTTAAATCAGCTCTTCATCACTGGTAACACGTCCATGACTTGACAACAAAACTGAATTAACTTGTCCATCTTCTTTCTCGGGACGACGATCACAAGCACCTACAGTTTAAGCAAGTTTCCTCGAGTCGACAGCGAGATAAAAATCGCACAAAAACGCGGCACACGAGAAAAAAAATTGATCTCTTCGTAAGTATATATGTATATATACATAAAAACATGTTTATGTACACTGAAGATATAAAAATAAGATATCTATATATATATAAAACATGATGACGATAAATAACTATACCATAGAAAACGCTACCGCACTGAAAGCGACTGGACCATATTAAAGAAAATAAAAATAATTAGGAAGAGTTCAAATAAAACAACAGTTTAAGATGACTAGGTTTGCCCCTACCTTGATGTGGTAGGAGTTGATTTTGTGACGTGGTAAGGCGTTGAAACTGCTGAAATCCGGTCTTCGCGCGAACAGCCCTCCACCGCCCGATCCATGTCTGAAACAACAGAGAGAGAACTGTCAGTAAAAAAAAAAATTGATTCAAGATTTATTTAAATAGGAGAGCAAGAATTGGTTGGTTGTGTATCTGTGGAGGATGAACTGGAAGTTGACCAGACCACACGCTAGAAGTGTGAAGGGACGACAACGTTTCGGTCCGTCCTGGACCATTCTCAAGTCGATTGTCAAGACAAGACCCAAGACAATCGACTTGAGAATGGTCCAGGACGGACCGAAACGTCGTCGTCCCGTCACCTTCTAGTGTGTGGTCTGGTCAACATACCTCAGCCACGTTACTGGGACTCATCGCCTGCACGAACTGGAAGCATCGAGAGTAAAATAGTCTGTATAAAATATGGAAAATATATTCTATATTATTAGAGTATATCAGCAGGAAATCCTATATTTAACATATACAGTAATCTATGCAGGCGATGAGTCACAATAACGTGGCTGAAGTATGTTGACCAGACCACACACTAGAAGTTGAAGGAAAGTTGAAGTTGAAGAAACGTCGTCGTCCCTTCAACTTCTAGTGTGTGGTCTGGTCAACAGTAATCTACAATAAGAGGTAATTAAACACCATCGACAATGTTCAGTCACAGCAGAATCCTCACACAAAGCAATAAATATTCCCCGTTCAATATACCAGTTTCTTTGTAATAGAGCGCAAGGGGGAGGTGAGGAAATGGTGGAGAGGGGAAGGGGGCGACTCCTCGTTTCCATGACAACGAGGGAACAAGAGGCACCGCTACAGAGGCACCAGAGAATAAAAATGCTAACTTCCCAATACGATTTCAGCTACACGGCTTGGAAAGAGGGGAGCCTGAAGGGCTGAGAGACAATGATATGTACCGCCGCCTTTACGTCATCCCGATCCGATTGATGATTGAGAGAGATTAAGCCACCCGAAAGGTGGCACGGGCATGAATAGCCCGTAAATCCCCAGATATACACCTGAGATACTGATAACACAAATACACCTCAGTACCGAAATACAACAAAAAATACAAATTTAAATCATAGCGAGACTTATTTCAGTGATTACTTCATTAAGTCGGCCAGGCATTTCGAAATTAGATAAACAGGGATAAGGGGGGGGGGGGGGAAGTGGCAATGAAGAGCAGCCTAACGCAGGTAAATGTTGACAAGACCTGAAGCATATTCATGAAAATGCCAAGATGAGAATGAAACCGACTTTGATGCATGCAAGTCAGATTCACAGTAAAGATGCACTATTTTCGCGTGTACACGAATGTACACGCGAAAAAGGGTACGGGGAAATCTGAATATCCGATACTGTATAAATAGGACAATCCATATTAGAATGCCAAAAGTATAGCAGAAAGAATCTAGATGTGCACGAAATCTTGATACATTTTACACGAATCTGGTACAAAACAGATTCTGAATCGACTGCGAAATAAAGAGACATCAGCTGTACAAGGGTAGAGACGAATTAAGCCTAATTACATGCACAGTACCTAATCACAGTTAGGCCTACGCCGAAGACATTAATAAAGATGGAGTGAGAGAATCCATCCAGCTAAAAATATATTGAAAATGATCCCGTTTAAATAAATCGCGAATATTGAAAATAAGGAGAAACTTCACACCATCTTAAACCTATAAAGTCAACTGGCCCCGTCCAGCAGACCCACCCACCCCCCCTTTTCTCTCTAAACTCCTATCATCTCACTAACGAAAACAAGCACCTGTCTCTGCCTGTAAGAGACAGAAATCCTCCAACAGTATTAGCACTTCCAGTTGTCTGAACGAGACACAGGAGGGGGGTTGGGGGCCGCAGGAAGAATCGAATTAAGAGTATTTTTATTAGGGAATAAGCCGTTATTTACCCATGTGTTTATGTAAGATCTTAAAGTGATTTCATATCGACTGAATAAGATATGATCTGCTTATTTTCAAAATGACGATACCTGCATGTATAGCACTCACGTTTCGTACACTTTAATCGCGTACAGATCATATGCGCTATCTACGTCACTTTCACACACTCGTGCGTGCACACGCGCGAGAGAAAGTGTGCGAGGCATAGCATATGTGCACGCAAGCGTGTAGGACTACGCAATGTGCGCGTCTGTTCCGGGGTGGTAGAAGGAATAGAGGGTGAAACTGGTTGGGGAGAGAGAGAGATGCGGCTGGGGGAAGGGGGGACGACCAGATAACCTTCCCACTTACCCTCGTTTCGTCCTTCCCTGCCCCCCCCCCCCTTCCTCCAATCACCCCCATCACAGCATATCCCCCCCCCCCCACACACACACACATGCAATAGTAGCAACCTCCGCCCCTCCCTCTCACATACTTTACACACTACGTAACAACACCCAAGGTGCCCGCCACTGTCTAGGAGAGAGGAATGAGTTTTTTTTACCCCCAATTCATTCACAGGAAAATATGCAGTCAAGTTGTGTTCCCCAGACTGCAGTGCACAACACGGAGCTTACGAATTAATACAGAAATAATACCTAGCTGTTTGTACCTAAGAATAACCAACTTGCCGTGTTTTACTTAACCTTCATCATGTCAACTACTATATCGTAGAAACTAAACCACTTATCACAGTGGAATATATGTAACGTTTTATACAAAACGAGCCATATAATGTGTCCTGACACGCTAGGTTGAGCCATGTACAAGGCAAACCCTGAGAAAATCCTTTTGGGGCAATGCAATGGAATCGAACTCTTGTGGTTCTGTGAATGCGTTCATAGTTCCACGAGTCTCAACAACACTGCCCTACTTCCTTGAATATTTAAACAAAAACAAAACAGTGGTTGTTGTTTTCAAGAAGATAACAGAAGTATAGAATGTCCCCCCCCCTATGAAAAGCAAAAGTCTCCCTAATCAAATGAACAAATCCACAAGGGCCGTGACGAGGATTCGAACCTGCGTCCGAGAGCATCCCAGACGCTGCCTTAATCGACTGAGCTACGACATGGTACAAGTCTCCCTAATCAACAACGAGATCTAACACTTGGCTCCTGCCATGCAACACGCAACCTAATGTAGGAAAAAAAAACCGTAAAATATCCATCATGAGGCGTTCGAAAAGTTGGGCAAATAAAATTGCCTAACTCTGCAACTTGAGCGTAATTATGGCCTGCACAAAAGTTACTGCAATAAATAAAAGAGCGAGACGTGCGATGGTCCACATCATGGCGACGACGGGTGGTAAACTGGACCTTATCGACCCCCCCGCCCCAGGCTCCAGCACCTCACCTTCGTCTAAGTCCTCTAAAACGACCTCAATTTGCGAGTTCGTTGACCCAACCAGTCTAGTGTCCTGAATTCATTGCCCCAAGTGCATTCCCCGAGCCTCGCTCTGCCGTATATGGGGGCGAGCCAGTTAAACACATTAGCTCACCGTTAGTTGGAATTTCATTCATCCTTTCATTCATTGCTAATAAACTCGCATTACTAATTTTACTATTATTTTAGGCGCGGGGAGAAAGGAAAAAAAGCATATTATTTCACATTAAAGTTATTGGAATATTGCCAAAGCCATCTATCTCCTCACTTAAATTTTCCATCAGCTATGTAAATAACTACTTTCGGGGTTGTAAAATATTTAAGAGAAATTCTGGCATCAAAAGCGAGAGGGGGAAAATATTTGGGGTAAAGCCAAGCCAACACCAAGGTACGGTGCTGACGTCACGGTCTGGCAACAAGGAGGAGAGGCTCCCTCCAGGGACACCACCACCCATTCCCCCACACGGTTGCCATGGAGCTTTATTGGATGCTATTCTTAGCCTCGTCATTTACAGCTGTGGGCTCGCTGCAGCGTTTCTTTGTAATTCATGTATGCACTTCATTCCTGCAGCTGCCCTGATGGCAAGGGTGGGTGGCAGGGCCCACAACCTGCCCTGATGGCAAGGGTGGGTGGTAGGGCCCACAACCTGCCCTGATGGCAAGGGTGGGTGTGGCAGGGCCCACAACCTGCCCTGATGGCAAGGGTGGGGGTGGCAGTGTAACACTGTAAAAGTGTTTGGGTTAGTTTATTTAAAATATATATAGAGTACACGAGTCACAGACAAGGATCTGAGAGGCGCCAGTTGTCTGCCTGAGATCTCACACCTCTAACCGTTAATGACCCCAAGTGACCTGAGGTCAGATCATGATAATTTCACCTTGCTTCCGCTAAGCGTATAATTGGAGCCGGGTAGCCTTCAAACATGCCGACGTTTAAGGAGTGGCTTGGTAGTGCCGGAGGCTATCTATTTGTGGGCGGAGTTAGCTACTAGGTTCCCCAATAAATACTCGGAGAACTATCGAGCATGGAGCATTAACAGACAGAACGGCAGTCAGGATTGCAGAAGAGACGACCTAGCAGGAAGGCTGTCGGCCGGCAGGGCGGGAGTCTCTGTCAACTACAGACCCCCCCCCCCCCCCTCTATCCAGCTATAGGCAGAGACACTTGGTGAGTGAACAGTAAGGTGACTTGTCGTGTTTTACATATGTTGTGTGATGATCAGGGGCAGTCAAGTTGTAGGGTTCTCGAATTCTTGGATGATGACTCTCTTTAACATTTGAATTGGATTGCTTATATTATGATACTTCATGTGAAATATAATTATGAATTTATTATTTAAATTGTGTTTAACTTTGTTCCCTAGAGATTTGAGTTGAGGTGAGAAAGCCTCTGTGATTACTGGTTTCATGATTTAATGAGTACATGTTTGGAGTTGATACATGATAAAGATGGGACAGATTAATAATGAACTCATGATAACATCCTTTGAGAATTTTGTGATACAGGCAAGTTCCATTCCTTGTCTTGTATGTAATGATCATGAATGGATGGTGGCAGCATTTCGTCTTCTATCTACTCTTCTACTTCTACTATCTACTCTTCTACTACTACCTATCTACACCTCTCCCTCCACCCCCTCTCTAAACTCTCACTTTCAACTAATGACCCTCCTCGCTCCTCCCACCTCCCTACCTCTCACCCCAAACCCTCACTAATTACTTCACTAT